CTTAAGGACAACCAAAGAAAAAAAAAAAAAAAAGAGTACAGCCAACATCGAAGTCGACACTGGCCGTTGTTTTCGATTATTTGGTAAGTTGTGGCAGTCACATACAGAGTCAACATATATTATATTCTAGTAGAAAAAAAACTGGAAAATTGCTACTTTAGAATATTTCCAAATTAAAACATTTTCAGGTTAAATGATCGATCCATTAAGCTAAAGCCTAGTAATGGTAAAAAGAAAATTATGAAGGACTATCTACGGGAGTTCGCATGAGAAGCTTGGAAATTACTAAATTTTGTGGAGAGAGAAGAAAGCAAGACCATTTATTTTCGCATGTTCTATCACATATACTATCTGACTACTCTAACGACCAACCTTTTGGGATCCTCTGGATCACCAGACTGGACAATCAAGGTGACTTCCCTTTTGAGATTAAACCAAAACAAGGTGGATAATATACTTTTGCGACTGGTATTCCACTCTTCTTTCTATCTTATTTGGAAGGAGTGTAACTTTTGTAGGCATCAAGTTGCTTGGCTGAGTACGAACACAATGATCAGGCATGTCGATAAATCCATTCAGAACAGGATATTGTCTTTGAAGTACACAGGGAGGAATAAGTTGGCAAGATTACTCCGAAGATGGCTCAGAGTTTATTCACGATGATGGAAGATGAGTATAGGAGTCTTTACTTTCCTTTTCTTTTCTTTTAAAGTTTTTTTTTTTGTTCTTGAGCAACTTCATTGTTTCTTTCTAAATATCCATCCATTCTTTGATTAATCAAAAAGTTATGAAAGACAAATACACATGCAGGCCTAATTTCATAAAGTAACCATACCATTTACAGACACCTTCTACTATATTTTTGGTTTTTATTACCTTATAAAACATAGACCAAACTGCATAACCGTTTCTTTTTCTGTCCACCATATAGTTACATGCATATATAGCTAAATAATATAAGAACTCCAAATGAAAAAGTTGTAGAAAAATCCACAATGAGAAATCAACATGATGATGTATCAACAACAGCATTAGAAAACTGTACTCTTAATTTCCAATCGCGAATCGCAGAACGGAGTGTATTGTTCGGTGTGAGCTTAAAGTGCTCGAGCTTTTGGCGAGTCACTGGTGAAATGTTGTGTTTCTCAAGCCAGGCTAAGATTGCTTTCCTCTCGTAGGTGAATCCATCAGCTGCAATCTCTGGTTCTTCCATTAGCTCCTGTTTTTCAAAAGATAAAGAATCAAAACCGGTTCCATCTTTTGGATGTTAAAATCATGCAACAAACCGGGTAAGCTTTTACTCACTTTTAAGATGGGACAAAAGTAATGACTTGGTGCACGTGCGTTGCTTTGTTCTTTCTTTATTTTTGAGTTTGCAGTCTCTACAACCCTTTTCAAAACAGGTATAACCTCTTCTTTAAGATCTGGTCTATCTCGGCACCGAAACTCCGCACACTTCAAACCAATTCGTGCCAATTCCTCGGTCTCTGCCAAAGGCCAATCCGTAACAGACTTGTCAAGCATTTCGTTTAATGTTCCTTTCTGTACCGCTTTTTCAACTGCGTGTACAAGTCCGTTGGGCTTACGAGCCGTCAACAACTGAAGAATGATTATCCCAAACGCATAGAGATCAGATTTTGGTCTAATCGTTCCGGTTCGATGGTACTCCGGGTCAATGTAATGCAATGTTCCAGCAAGAACAGAGTGTCGATACGTTGTGACATTATCTGGTGCAACATCCGTAACCAGCTTAGCTAAACCGACGTCTGCAATTTTGCTCACGTAGTTCCGGTTTAACAAGATGTTTCCCGGTTTTAGGTCACGGTGTACAATTGGTTCCGGTTTGGAGCTATGTAAGAAGGCTAAACCGCAAGCTACCTCGAAAATCACCCTAAACCGGATAAACCAAGGCAGAGGCGGTTTATTTTTTTGGTGAAATATATATTCCTCGAGGCTTCCATTTTCCAAATACTCGTAAACCAGACAACCATTCTCCGGACAAGCTCCAAGGAGAAGAACCAGGTGTGGGTGTCGGAGCTGGCTTAGGACCTCAACCTAGAGAGTAATATACCAAACAAATAAATCAGATCGCATCACACCAAAAGCTTAACCAAGACCCATCATCAATTTTCCACAATAATCTAAATTAAATTATATAAAACTAACAATACAGTCCATGTTGTTATTCTAATTACCTCTTTCAAGAACTCTTGTTTCTTCTCTGGCGTATCTAGGCGAACAACCTTAACAGCTGCCGGAGTACTATCAAGACTACACTGATAAACTTTTCCGTATCCTCCTTCTCCGATCACTTTCTCTGGGGAGAATCCTTCAGTGGCTGTGAAAATCTCTTCGATTGTGTATTTCCTGTACCGTTGATCGGTTCCTAAAAGCTGATCGATCACTTTCTTCTTCTCTAAGTAAGTCCTTAAAGCATTTACCTGCGCGATTTGTCGCTGACAAAACTCCCTCGCAAGCAACGCTTTCGCTGTTTCTACCTCTTTAACAGCCTTCACGTATCGCTCTTTCTCCAGCGCTGCTGTTTTTCTCTGCAACTCTTCTTTCTCTACAGCACTGTTCACTCTTCTAGCGTCGGCTGAACATTCTAAAGATAGCACCTGAACCTAGCAGAAATCCCAAAATAAACACTTTACTTGTGGAACAAGCAAGCTAAATGATACACCATTTCAAAATGATTAACAATAAAAATAAGCAGATTTAGACGGATATCATATACATATGTACCTTGTTTTTGGTGGAAGTTAGCTCTTCACAAGTTTGTTTGTATTTAACGACCGTATTTTCTAACTCTTTTTTCAGACGCTTGACTTCTGCTTCAATGTCAACCTATCAAACAAACAAAAAATATTCAAACTCTCTCTTCTTTCTTAATAGTCTCATCATTGAACGAAAAGATGATAACTACCTTCTTAGCTTTTTTAGATGTTGCAGGTGGCGAATCAGGACCTCTTTGCTCTTCAACGATGTTCCCAAGATTCGATTGAGGTTGGGTTGTTTGATCATAACACAAGTAGTTTTGTTGTGGAATATCTGATGCTCCACGCCGTCTTACAATCTCTGAAGCTTTTGCACTAGGAGCCCTACTAATTTGAGGTGTTTTGAGTTGACTATAAGCGAGACTTAATGCGTCTGATCTCAGCTCTTTAGCCGATACTGATCTCCTTGTCGTCCCTGGCTCTTTAACACCCAAAAAGAAAATGAAAAAGTAAAATCCCAGCTTTCAAAGAGATCAAATGAATCTCTAGTTTGTTATTGCATAGGCTCGTTGCAACCTTCAACGCCAACTTCAATCACATCATTTTATATCATTTGGATAACCATTAGATATTTTACATAATTTACCTATGTGTTCTCGATCAGTAGACAACTTTTGAGACTGTACAGTTTGGAATCTAGCTGGCCTGTCTTTCAGGTAACCGCGGGCGGAAGCAGATGCTTGTGGTCCTGTGGACGGCCCTGAATAATTACAGTTAAAGAAAAGTTTCCAGGAGTAAAAAATACAGCATATTGACTAAAAATAAAGATATACTCTTAAATAACATACCTTTTTTTTTATCTCAAAATATCACATAACCACAAAATCACAACACTAGAAGCACTAAATGATAAAAGAACACATATATCCATAGAACTAAATGTTTACGATTCAATTTTTAGAAATAAAATTATTGTTTATTTAAAGTATTTTATGTGGAGGTATTGGACCTACATTTGATTGAATTTGAAAGAACTATTTTTTTCCATTAAATTATAGTGTTACTCAAGTGTTTCATCAATTTTTACAAAACAAAAAGTGTTACTGTGTTAGCATTTGTAATCATTCTTCTAAAATACTTTAACTTATAGTATTATTCAGTTTAGTAACAACTTATAATATATTAGATATTTGTGTTATTCAGTTTTTGTGGATTTTGTATTATTGGTATTTAAAAAATAATAATGGAAAGCTTATTATTTGAAAGAACTAATTTGTATGTTTTAGGTTGGGATTTGAAAATAACTTTTTATATTGTTTATCGATTAGATATTTACATAAAAATTACTAATCAAATAGATTTGGACTTTAATTGTTATTATAACTTTAAAAATTATATTCTTATCTTGACAAATGAGAAAAATATAATTGTCAGTATCCGTCTTGAAATGGACGAACCTTTTCGATTATGTTGTTCCCAATTTGTTTTCATAAATTACTCATGACAATAATTTTCTTGTTTTAACTTTTTGTATTCAAATACAAGTTTATCTCTACATTTTAACACATCAGACATAAAACTGATTAAGTCTTACTATTTTTGTTAGTCAATTTTTATCCGATTTTTTCTTTAAATGACTTGTTATTTAAAGATATATAAATGATTAGTCTTTATTAGTTTCATAAGTCAAAATTTTATTTGAAATTTAGTATAAGTTCAAAAATATTAATTGGATATAGAAAATTTGGTTTCTATCCAGTTTATATGCATTCCTTTAAATCTAAAACATAAGAATTGGAAATTTGTATAAAAATCTTAATCAAATCTCTGAAATATTTTAAAATATATTATTTATGTCTTTAACTGAATTCTTTGAAAATCAAATATTCTTCATTTCAATACTACCATTTTAGACCTTGACTGGTAAAGCATTTGCAAAAACATTATTCTTCTTATCATCCAATCAATTATTACTGAAAAAAACATCTAGAAGATACAAATGTTTTCTAATGTTTTTTGCTCAATACTATCATATGAAGTTTTTGGTTGAGCATTGTATTTCATTTCTATAGAGATTAAAAATAATTGTTGATAATTAATATATTTTATTTAATAATATCAATAGTTATTTTTAATTAAAAACAAAATTAAATTTAAAATTAACTATTCAATTTTAATAACCTACCTTTCAAATTAAAATATAATTTAATATATATGTATATATAAAATATTAAATAGGATACTTTAATTTTTATTAACAAAATATACTAACTAATATATATATATACATAACTAATACAAATATACCTATAACAATATTATTTAGAAATAAAAAATATATATTATATACTAATTTTATATGATAATTATTATATGAATAATGTATTGTCTACGAATCAGTTTGGTAATACATTAGTGAGATCATACCCTTTTTGGAGCATACCTTCACTAATATAATGTTTCTGCTTTGTTATCAGCTAGTAATTAAATTCTTAGTGTGTTACGTACATGTTATTTTGTGACTTTGTTCCTCTTGTTAGCTATTTTCTGACAATAATAGCTTTTTGTGCTATTAAAGAGAATTGCCTATAAAAATAAATATATACAAATATATATTTTGTTTTTACCTGCGTTGATTAATGGATCCATAGATTTTGTAGTGATCCTGTCTTTGCACACAATGTAGACTTCACATGTTTCTGGAGCGTATCTTAAGACAGTCAACGGTACTCCTGGGCCTTTTGTCATCCTAAAGTAAGAATAACCGGCCGGTAAGTATAAATAACCGTGTTCTTTAAGGAAAACTAAACCACACTGAGTTATGTAATGTACCGTGTGAATACGTTTGGCGTGAATGATCCCATAACCAAACTGTTAACTCCTGATTTGAAGATGAATCGCAGAAGCGCTTTTGCAGGATCATCATGCTCTAGCAACAAAGTTTCGACCTGAAATTGAAGGTTTTATAATTCAGGGAATTTACAGTTTGACCCAATACTTTTTTTATAGGTTTTAACTTTGTTCTGAAAAAAAAAAAACTTTGTTCTGAAAATAAAAATGAACGCACCTTGGTACGACTACGTCTCTTGCACATTTTCAAGAAGGGAACAAAGACTTTTTCATATTCTTGTTTCACTTCTCTCACATACATTTCCACCAGTCTCTCCTCCACCTCCTCCACCGGTAATCTGCCTCCGGCTGAAACAACCGCCATTCTCATAAACATTAATCTCATGAAATTACATCAATCGATCGAAGTTTGATGTTTTAATCAGATCTTCATTATTGAAACAAATCTCTGAAGTGAAATGTTTTCTTTCTGGAAATTTTACTAAGAAATCATAAATTCATAATTTTAGACAAATTATTAAAACATAAAATCGCTTGACTGATCATCGTTTTTATCTTGAAAAACAATGGTTTTGATAACAAACTACAGATAAAAACTAATCAGCAATAACGTGTGAACACGAAGGCTCACATGTATAATTATGATCTTCATTAATAATGAAAAGCACTCCACATTTTTACCTAAATGTTGTAAAGAAAACATTTTTGCTTATTTTGTTTCGTATTTGGGTATATATGTTTCTGTATTTCATGTAGTTCTTGTACAAAAAGGAAAAAAAAATACACGTCAAATGTGTTGATTGAGTGACTTACTAGGGGTAGGGATAGTAGTAATGGTGGAGATGACGTGGATCATCATAAACCGATCAGCCTTAGGTAAGAGGTTATCGACGGCCCACCGTACGGCGCGGCGGCTTCCACCACCGCCCAATTTATCTCCGATAATACCCTTCACGGCCACCGCCACAAACAACTCACCCTCCTGCGCCTTTGGACCATCACCATCGCCACTCATTTCTCGACCCTTTTAAGTCAACATTACCGTCATCTAATACGAATGGCTCAAGTAACCCAAAATATGCTTTACTTTCTTCTTTTTGTGTAACTGATACGATTTTGTTTCCAAGAATGGCTTGAGAAATGATATTGCAGAGATGTGTATCTCTCTGATCACGGCTATATTGTATTGATATGTCTCTCCATATAGATATTTAAGTTCACGACCAAGCATTAATAATAAATTAAATATATGAAAGATAATTAGTGAGCAATGTATCTATAATAGTTGTATAGTGGTTGGTACCCGAAAAAGTAAGAATTGTTTTTTTTTTTTGTCAATGAAAAAGTAAGAATGTATCACTTTGTATGTGTTACTGATTCTAAACAACGGTTACAATATAATAAATATTAGATCATGATCCGCGCGGATTCGCCGATTTTATTTTTTCGGATGTACTCTATATCATTTAGTCTTGTATAGTTTTAAATTTGTCTAGTTCGATTTTATGTTCAAAGAACAATATCAAAACGGTCTTTTATATTAATAGCATCAAGCCGTGTATTATGTAGATGTAATCGTGCAGTAAAAATACTAATTCAATACGTTGGTTCGAAGTGTAAAATCAAATTCAAAGTTAACTATTTGCATTAAAAAATAAGTTGAGAGCTTAATCACTTCTAATGTTAATAATTATTCAAAAAAATTAAAATAATATATAAATTTCTAGAATTTTTGGCCTTCACCTTTATTTATAGGTTAAGTCAAATTCAAAGTTAACTTTGGTCTTAACTTTGCAAGCACATATATTTTATGATGAAAAAACATAAATAATTTAAAAAATATTTTGGTAATTTGAAAGAATTTATGTATTTAAATATTTTCATTTAAATCAGTATTTTTAAATTCAACCCGGACCGCGGTTAAACCGGTGATCCGATAATTCAATTTTGACTTTTCAAAATATCCATAAAAAATCACTAAAACCCGAGACTAACCGATTACCTAATATTTAATATCTGAACCTGTAAAAATAAGTTTATTTTCATTTTTTTCATTTTTTTAATTTATCTAAATAATTTGATAGAAAATTGTGAAATATTGAAAAGGGTTAGATCTAATATTTTGTATTGTTTGGACATAAGACTAATGGTATTGTTGTTTGGAAACATGGATAGTAGTATAAAGAAATAAGTATATTGTTTGGAAACATAGATAGTAGCATCAAGAAATAAATATATTGTTTGGAAACATAGATAGTTGTATAAAAAATGAATATTAGTGATTTAATGTATGTTTAAATATAAAATAGAAAAAAAGTATTTAATTTAAAAACTTACGAAATAAATGTTAGGTCCAACCTAATGTTTCCGTTTTAATAAGATAGATGTGGAACGTTACCCAATGATTTAACCTAAAGTGATCAATAAGACTGTATATCACGTGGAAATATCAGGCCTTGGTTCTATAAATATTAGCCCATGGTTCGATTTTGGGCACATAATTTCCGAGGGTAAAATACCCAAACAATCAGAATATAAAGGCAATCTGAAGAGAGAAACTTGGGCAGTTAAAGAAAGACTTGACCGGATAATCAAGCCAAGAAGACATTGGACTATGGTTTCTTGAGATCGATCCGAACATGGATCCAAAAAAGAGAAGGAGAAGCAAGTTGGCACTCCAGATCGCACGCCTACGGTGAGTGGATGGATCAGATAAGCCATCGACCATAGCCTTCAGGTGAATCTGATTTTTTCTATGGTTGATCGGTGAAACCGGTTAGATCCTTCTATCCATAATTAATAATTTTTTTCTTTCTTCTACATAAACTATTAAGGAAACTTATCTCTAGGGATGAATATAGACCATAATTGTAAGCTGATCTAATCATGTAGTCCACGCCTTAAAGCTGGACGTGATAGATCAAGGATCATAACTGATATGCTTGATCAAAGTATGGGCGTTGGTTAGTCAGATTGATCTAGATCCGCAAACCGGACTTAACTTACTTGCCAAATGAATGTGAAAGTCGAGAATTGTAAAAGGAAAAGTCAGGTTAAACTTAGAAAAAATATGAACATACGATATATGCATTGGAACCTAACTCATTAAGTTATCTATAGATTGTTTATGTATTTGTTGGTTTCGATTCTGGGAATGAACTGCTTAGCCATGAAGACTCGAAGCCAAGGGTGGATGGGTTGTTTGATAGACTGATTAGGATCATTTACTTTGTAAAAGCTTATATGGTAAACCCTCCTTGTAATGAATCTTTGTGAAATAAATAAAAAATTAATTTATTCTATTGCCTCTAATATATAAGCTTTTAGATTCTATCATATGACTTGGACCACTTAATGGTCAATCGGTGAGAACCTCCTTCGGCTTAGAAGCTGGGATGGGCTCTTACAATGTTAAAGAAGAATATACATGGCATCCAATGCGTCGACGATATGCGAACATATCATGATAGAAATACCCTTTGAATTTGGCAAGATTTTTCAACTTTTCGATGGGATTATCAACTGGTTTTACTCTCAATAGTCCACATTCAGAGATCATATATATGCGTTCTGAAAACATAAATCTCTTGTTTCTCACTAGATACCTCAGTACAAAGTGATTGATACGACCCCAATCTCTCTTATATGGAAGCATGTACTTATTAACTCTTTAAATTTGTTGTCAACACTTGATCATCTCCAACAATGAAGTTATCAACATAGACACTAACAAATAAGCAGAAACTTTCTAATATGTACACATTGAATAATCAGACTACTTTGATCAAATTCAAACTAAATAAGCGATGTAAACAACTTACAAAACCATCATCATAATCTTGTTTTAGCGCATAACATGTCTTTTTAAGTTTGAAAACTTAAGAGGAGTCGTATATAGATAAGTATAGAAGTAACGTCATATTATTTTCCACTTCAAAATCTGTAAAAACGCATTATAGACACTCAATTAGAACAATTCCCAATTCTGAGCAGCAAAAAACTTTCAGAAATATGCGGATGGTAATCATTTTAATCACTAGTGCAAATGTTTCATTATAATATGTTCTTTGTAACTCTCAATGATGCAATCTCCGATGTGTCATTCTCATAAAGTGTTAAAATTTCATAACTCATAGCTTTTGTCCACCGATATTTTGTTCATCCGTTGCATTTAATGTAGCAACAAAACATATGTTGAGGAAGAGAGTAGTCAACTGCAACAAAATAGATTAGTAGATAGAAATACTTACTTGTGGAAAATGAAAGATAAAGAGTGATGAGCTGTGTGAGGTTTTATCATAAGCTGCCTCAGAATAAGTGAGATATGGCACAAGACGCACATATCGTTTGCTCAACTACCAGTGGTGGATAATTTTCTTGGTCTTCATCATTCGTAATATCAAGAGATAAGTCGCAATGATATGAATATCAACCATCATATTTTGAAAAAGATTTGAAGACTCCTCTTATTGGGTCAATTTTTGCAATATCATTTGTGTCTTGTTATCATTAGCTGGAGAAAAATTATAAGATTGGTTTCTAGTATTAGTTTCATTTATGACAACCAACTATTAACTGTAATAGGTGTTTCAAATATTTCTGGAGTAATATCCGATAATTTAATTTGACTACATCATCATAAGTGTTTGTGGTTGGTTTTGTATTAAAGGGAAACATATCGTCGTGAAAAGTAATGTCACGAGAAACAAACAATTTTCTTATTCCAAATCAAGAACAAGCCATTTTTTTTGTCGAAATGATATCCCAGAAAGATGACATGAGCACCACAATCCTCAACAATTTATGAGATAGTGAGTTAGTCGCACAAAAAAACTAGCAACTGTCTTTGTGTCATAGTATGACGGATATTTGTGATTGAGATTCTAATCCAATGTTTCCTTGAAAAAAAACTTAGGGTATATGGTTGATAAAATGAGTGGTTGCTTGGACACTTTTTCCCCAAACTTTGTAGGAATGTGTGCTTAAAACAATAGTGCTCGAGGAACGTTAAAAATTATATGTCGATACTTCGATAAACTCTTCTTTTTTGTTATGGTGTACAAATACATGATATTACATGCTTGAACCTATTTTCAGGAAAGTATGTACTCATGCACATAAACTTGGTATTGTTGTTTGTTTGAATATTCTTGATTTGTGTATCAAAATTGTCGATTTACCCAAACAAATAAATTCCATAATATTGTGAAGGCAAAATATTTTAATCAGTAAAAAATTGTCTACACGAGACTTGTTCATGTGTCATACAAATAGAACATGATCAAGCAAGTGTGTTTTGTTTTTTATTACCAAAGTTCATGAACATATAAAAAGTGATGCATGATAAAATTCCCTCCAAAAAAACTGTTACGCATCTTGTTTTCCAAGTTACTCCAAAATTCAACAATTTTATAGGACATGATCAATTTTAAATATATTTAAAATTTAATATCTCAAATCATATGAGAAGCTCATGATTAAATAAAAACGTTTATGAATTATGTAGACAATCTACTTGCCAGTTTCACCAGACAACCTTTTTTACCTATTTTCTAAGATGTTTTCTTACCTGATTTGAAAGAAATTTTATAAATATTTTCATTTAGTTGATTTAATCTTTGGAATCCTTGCATTTGTTTCATCACAAGTGTGTTTAAGAAGAAACATATGTTTATGAGATATGATTTGCATAGATTTGAGAGACACAAGTACGACTATTTCTCCAATTCAAACAACGACCTCGACCATAAGATCCTCGTCTTGAGGATGTCGGTTCTTAATTTGAAAAATTAACTCTTCTGAATACCAAGTTGTCCAAAGTGAGAATATGTCAATAATTTTATATAAATGAGAACCCAAAAGCTAAAGTCGTTTCTTTTGTCTCATGAGTATCACAAAAATATGTTTTTTGAATAATATGTGAGTCAATTATGTCGAGATTTTAATCATGAATATGACTGAACATATGTGATAGTGTTGTGCCAAAACATAGACTGTCCAGCCCTATAAGAAATT